TTTGGCAGGGTCTCCTGCCTTGGTTTCTGTCACTCCTTGCTCTCCTGTTTTTCTGAATCACTCCTCTTGCCATTGACCAGCCTGTTTTACTTTATTTACTCTTTGACTTACATGCCTTGTTAAGATCTAACTCAGGATTCTGCTTCTATTTCTATAGTGATTGCTTTGGAAATCTCATAACGCAAACTGCTGTCTCTGTTGCTAAAGAATGTGAATGAATGTGTGAATGCATGAAGGAACAAGCAAATCCCTACACTTTGTGCTGTTTGTGGGATGTGGCTGGCCCATTATCACCCCAGATTTAGTACGGCTAAAACTAATCTGTGCAGTGACTCTCCAGCCATTTAAATCAAGATATATATGGAATTGCTCTAATCAGAAATAAGAGCACAGTGATCATTTTAAAAATGTTTAGGTTCTGACATGAATGGATACCTTTTTGGTCTAAAGGTGCTAACTCAGCCCCTTCGCTGAGGTCCCTGGTTCTTAGCTCAGTGTGGTTGAGGTACGTGTTGATGTTATCCTGTCACTTACTAGTAGGAGCCAGGGTGCTCTTGATTTGCATCCCAGTTCTACCGCTTACTGGATGTGGGAAAAGTTGCTTGACCTCCATGAACTTCAGCGTACTTGTATGCAAAACCAAGAAAATAAAGTTCATTCAGCAAATATTTCATAAGATCCCATAGGCTCTAGGCGTTCTAGAAGCAAGTATACAAAGTGGAATAAGGAAAAAACCGTGCCATCAGGGAGCCACAGTGTTGGAGGAGGGAGGCGGACAGGCAGGCATCAGCGAGTTGGTAAGCACCGGAGAGTTAAATCAAGTCACTGCTCTTATTGATTATCGGAGTGCTCAATAAATATTAGCTACCCCAGGAACCCAAAAAGGAGCAAACAGGGACTCAACTGAGAAAGAAGACAGTTGGGAAATGGAAAGAATAAGGGGAAACGTTTCATACATTAGAAAGCCCTGAGTGAGGTAGAAGCTCAAACCCGGCTCAGTGGAGGAGCAGCAGGCAGGTTTTTATGGAAGGGTGGTGACAAAGGCATCAGAGGAATCATAATTAATACATACACCTGGCGTGCAGGACTGCATTCTTGTGTTTTTGCTTATGGTCTTTCCTTATGCTTTGCCTCTAGGATATTGAGTCATTGATGTCTGAGGGAAATAAGTCTCGAACGGTAGCTGCTACCAACATGAACGAAGAAAGCAGCCGCTCCCATGCTGTGTTCAACATCATAATCACACAGACACTGTATGACCTGCAGTCTGGGGTGAGGGATTAGGCAGAACCTTTGAAGGGGGTGGAAGAACTGAAAGTGTCCATATAGGTAAAGCCTTCCATGGTTGGGTTCAGTGGCTGAGAATTTTACGTTGGCTCTTCTGCTTACTAGGTGAGCTGCCCTGCTTACATCATTTAATTTGTTAGGTCTTCCTTCATATTCGACTTTTTAAAAAATTGGATTTTGGCCTGGTGCGGTGGCTCATGCCTGTAATTCCAGCATTTTGGGAGGCTGAGGCGAGAGGATTGCTTGAGGCCAGAAGTTCAAGACCATCTTGTACAATATAGCAACACCCGGACTCTACAAAAACAAAAAAGAAAAATAATTGTATTTCTTGTGCAAAGTCCCTAACAAGTGTGATGACATCACCATACAGCTTTTAATATATATCCTTTCATGCTGAAATTCCCATGGAAACAAGTCAGCTTCATAGTCCTTGAGGGATATTAAAGAGGACACCACAACCTTTAGCCTGAACTTTTTTTCAAAAGAAGAAGGATTTGACCTGAATGTGCAGAAATCCTCATGTCCTTCTATTTCCTCATAGGCACTTAAAATCTCCAGCTTTCTGACTGTATTCCAGAAAGCTGGGTGTACTTTCTGCAAAACAAAAATGCTACATTTCCATGCCAACTTAAATTTTAACTATGAAATTAATTGCTAGTTCAAATAACTCTTCTGACCATTTAAAAACTTAAGAAATTTGCCATGTGAGTGGGATGGATTGCTCAATTATAGTGCTAACATGTATGTAGATATCCATGTGGTTTTTATTGGTAAGTTTTTTTTCTCTCTCTTGTTTCCTGTAACTAGAACTCCGGGGAGAAGGTCAGTAAGGTCAGCTTGGTAGACCTGGCGGGTAGCGAAAGAGT